TTTCCTATATCCCAGGTATTTGGGGGGTGTCACCTCCTGAATTCCTTCCTCTGAGTTTCTCTCGTCTGTGGATACCCCGGCCCACACCTGCCCTCCCCCCTTGCCTGGCTGCCCCTCCCACTCCTACCTGTGCACTCCTCAGGCCCCTCGTCTGCCTACCCCGTTTGTCCCCTTCTCTTCCCAGGGAGGTGGCTGCTGCTTCCTGTGCTATGACTGCGTGGTCTCCTCCCCGAGGAAGGGCTGGGGCCTCCTGCACCCTGGCCGCCTCACCCACTACCACGAGGGGCTGCCCACGACACGGGGCACTCGCTATATCATGGTATCCTTTGTCGACCCCTGACACTCAACCACTGCCAAACCTTGCCTGCCATTGTGCCTTCGTATGGGGTATGTGACCCCAATCTGGGAGAGGGGGTGTTTCCATCTCCTCACTTCCTGAGTGTATGTTCTCTGTGCCTGGAACTGAATGTGTCACCATAGCCCCCAGCACACAGCCGTCTCAGGAAGCTCCTGGAGACCCCTCTCCTCCCCTCAGCCCCCAAGAGTTCATAGAGACAGGGCTTCTGGGGGTTCCCCGTGTGATAAATTATTAAGGTTCCTCAATCTCCCTGCCAACAAGGAAGGATTTTTAAATCTGGAGTTCATTTGTCATCTTTTGCCTCCTACCGACTCATCTCCCCTCCTGCCAGCCAGACTAGGGAACCCTGAAAAGGGGAGACAAGAGGAAAAGAGAGGAGCAGGAAGGCACCCCTGGGGTACCTGGAAGCTTCCCTCACCTTCCTTGCCCCAGCTGGGGAACAGGAGGAGGCCAGACCTTCCCAGGCCAGGCTCAGATGAAACTCCACCCACTGCCTACCCGGAAGGCTTCTCTCTGGTCCTTTCATCCCTTGATAGAGTGATCTTCCCTGGGTGAAGGGTGAGGTGGCACATGCCTGGGCTGGGGTACAGGCACAGGCTAGAAGAAGGAAGTCACCCTGGAAGCAAGTTTTCTAAAGAGGGGTCTGTCTGCCACCTAAGCTGCTAGTGGGGTGAGCTCAGAGAGCGGGTCCCATGACAGGTGTCATCCTCAGGAAGCTTCCTAGATGGTGGGAGTGACAAGCAGCCTGGAGGAGGAAGGGACAGACCTCCTTAGAGCAGGTCTTCCAAGGCAGCAAGTCTTGTCGCCCTGCCCTGGTCTCCCCCAGCCTAGCACTGAACACTGAATTCATCTCTCAGCTGTTCCCAGGCATCTCGCCATCCACTGTTAGAGTCCCCTTTTCCCTCCCTGCCGCCCAGCCTCCAGGGCCAGCCTCCTCTGGGAAGCCCACCCTGTGCCTGGCTGGGCTGCCTGTCTGAGTGGATGCAGCGTCTTTCTGGCCAGACTGAAATCCATCCCCTACCGCCTTTGTCACCTACCCTGTGGATGGCAGTTGCTAAGCAGGGACAGGAGAAAACTCCTCTTGGCAAAGTGTCCTCCCTCAGAGGCCTGAGCTGCCCCACAGGCTTGGACCTCGGAGGCCAGGCCCCAGACTGAGGGGTTTTCAAGCTGCTCTCCCTTGTGTGGGGAGCGCTGCCCTCCGTGGTGTTCCTGCTCCCTCGGGCCTCCCCCCGCTGTCCCAGACCTCCATTCGCCTGCCCCTCAGGAGGCCCAGGGCCCTGACCTCCACAAAGTTCAAACACCTTCCCTCAGGCTCCTGGCCACACCCCTGGTTTGGGCCCATTGGTCCTAGCCCTGTGGACTCAGGTTACCATGAACTCATCCTTCCCCAGCTCCCGTGGCTCCAGTGTGCAGGCAGCAAAGGAGGTGGGAATGGGGGCGGCGCCAGGGACAAGGGTCAGGGCCAGTGGGGTGGGCCAAAAGGGGGGGTTCTTAAAAGCTGGAGGTGGCCCCTGTGTGACTGCCACACAGTACGATTGCCTCCACTAGTCTCCACCACCGGGCTCTGCCAGTGCTCGCTGTGCTGCAACGTGCCTTCTCCTTCTTGGGGCTTGGTGAGTCCCCAATCCTGAGGATCCGGGTGGGCCCCAGCACCTGGCAGCACCTGGTGCTCTCCTTCCACATTGCCCCAAGAGAGGAGGTGTTGGGATCTCTGGGGTCCTTGAAGGAATCTGGGGATCAGGTGGGATGGAAGCAACCAAATGCCATGGAACTAGGGAAGGGGAAGACAGAGGGGAGGCTCAGGCTTAAACACCCAAGTTCTCAGGCCCACCCCATCTTCCAGCCCAGGTGTCCTGGCAGCCTTGCTCCTTGTATTCCTAAACTGGAACTGGACCCTGGTAGTCTCCTATCAGGTCTGGTTCTACCGAGACAGGGCCAACGCCAGGGCTGGAGGCCACCACTCTGTCAGCAGCAGGGCGGTGTGGAGACATTTCCGTGACTGCTTCTCCATCTCGGTCAGGGCATGGGGCACAGGGCACAGGTGTGCTGGGTGGCGCTGGGGCTTCAGAATACACTCGGGCTCCTCATCAATGTCACGGGTGGGTTGGGGTGCCTGCACTCTGCTCCCCAGCTGGTCGAAATCGCAGAGCTGGATCCCTCCCAGAACTACCTCTTCAGCCTCCACACTCACGGGGTCCTGTGCTTGGGGCCTTCAGCAACTTCTACACAGAAGCCACAGGCTTCTCCCGCCTCTTCCAGGGTGTGTGGCCGCTCCTGCTCATGCTGCCCTGTTGGTTCCACCTTCCTCTCTTCTCGGACTATATCATGTCAAGTGCAGGAGGGATGGCCCCTGCTGTCCCCTCCTGCCACAGCCACACGCTCTTCTTGTCTGGGGGTTCCTGGGCCCAGCGCTAACTTACCAGTGTCCTCTACCCCCACCCCTGTCTTCTCTGGAAGATTCAGGCATTGGTTCTCCCAGCCTCTGCCCTCTCCCCAGTTTTGATCTCTGAAAAGGCCAGGGCTGCCTATCTGCTGTCCCTGCCTGGGGGCATCCAGGTTGCCATCCTGGACATGGGAGGGTCCCCAGAGTGCTGAATTTTGGGATCCGAAATCAAAAGGGGTTCTTGCAGCTGGCACTGGAACAGGGGTGAGTTACTGGCAGGGCGGAAGAGGAGTGTGGCACCCTGGCCTGGGACTCAGCCACACCTGCTCCCACAGGGCCTCCCTGCTGCCCGAACTCGCTGGGCACCTGGTTGTCCAGGCCGTAAAAAGCGCAGCAGCCACAGCTGTGCGTGGTGTTGCTGCTGTTCCATGGCCGAGCAGGGCTGCAGCTGCCCTTCCACTCGCCTGTCCACACCGTTGGCCAGCCTGGCACGCCCTGGGCCCCGCCCCGCCCACTGATCTTTGTCCTAGTGAGTGCCTCGGGGTGGGTGGGGGGGTGCAAAGGAAGCCAGAGCCCGACCAGCACTGTTCTCCCCCCACTGGGGGCAGAGATTCCAGCGCAGCGAAGCCCGGCCCAGCCAGGCCCAGGTGGACGTGCTGCACGCGCTCTCAGTGGAGACGCTCACGTGGCTGTTGGAGGAGTACAAGGCACGATACAGGGACGCGCACAAGTCACCTCCAACGCCGCGCCCCACCCTGCCCCCTAGGTGATTCCAGAACAGGGAGTGAAATTCAATGTGGGAAACCGACCAGAGGTGTTCCTGGGTTTGTGCACCGCAGAGGCAGCCGGGGTGCGCTTTGAGGCCAGGGGACGCACAGCCCGGACTGTAGCTCCCAGGTGGCTTTGTCACTCCCAGAGACATGCAAACCGGTGGGGTGCACACTGGACACTTTGGAGATGCAAGAGTCTGAGCTGAACTTCTGGCCCTGCTAGCGCCTGGACCCTGTGGACAGGCTGGCTGGCTGCCTTTGGTTCACCCCCTGGGATACCCCTTGCAACTGTCCCTTCCAACCTTCCCAGTCCCGACTATCGCCAGCCCAGACCTATTTACTGAGGAAGTTCAAAGACCAGTCTGAGGAGCCTGGAGATATTTGGGGCTCCAGATCCTGATAAACCCCCTGAAACTCACCCCAACACACAGCCTTCTGCGAAGAGATCTGCAACCCTGCCAGGCACCAAGCGCTGCCCTCTCTGGACAGAAATCTTCCCAGGCTCTCGCCCAGACCTTCACCTTCCTCCTCTGCTCTCCGGTGTCCTGCTAGCAGAGGGGAGGTACTGGAATGGAAGTGTCTGCAGCCTCTGTAACCTCTGTAACCTCAAAAAGCCCATGGAAGCAGTATCGAGAAATGATGGCTGTCTACCAATGGGTGTTGACTTTCTTCTTCATGGGTGAGAAGGAGACAGACATGGGTGCCTTGGGTCTGCCAGGGGAGAAGGGTCCAGAGGGAGGAAGGCTGGGCAGCCAGACAGCTGGCCTGGATGCCTGAGGGCCAAGGGACCACCCCAAGAGGGCGACAGGGGATGGCGGGATGTCCAGTGGGGGTGGAAAGGAGGGTAGTGGCTGGGTGGAATGACTGTTTCAGAACCAAATTCATTCTTTTCTCTTCTTTCACCCAGGCCCTTTCTTTTCTCTTCTCCTCATCTTCCTCCTGTTCACTTCACTCTGGTCAATCTCTGTTCTCTACCTGGTGTGGCTCTACCTGGACTGGGACACACCTAACCAAGGTGAGCTGTGGACAAGGGCCCAGGTAATGAGAAATAGCCGCTGGGAGGAGGTTGTTACCTCCAGGGATTCTGGCGCCCTCTGTCTTTGCCCGCAGGTGGAAGGCGTCGTGACTGGATGAGGAATTTGACAGTGTGGAAGGACATGAGGGATTATTATCCTATCAAGGTAATGGGTCCTTTAACTGTCTCTGCCCTGTCCTACCTCCCACACTCCCCTTCTATGTGCTAGATGGAGCCTGAGCATGTAAGCTGAGGCAGTGGCCCAGCTGTATGGCATCCAAGAGAGGAGTAGCCATTGATCCCATCCTAGGACCTTGAACCCTGAAGTCTGTAGGGGGGCAGGGCAACTCTTTTCAGCTGGTGTCTTCCCTTCTCTGCCTCCCTGCTCATCCTCCCCAACACCCTGAAGCTGGTGAAAACAGCAGAGCTGCCCCCCAACCAGAACTACGTGGTGGGCAGTCACCCACATGGGGTCATGTGCATGGGGGCTGTCTGTAATCTCTCCATGGAAGGCAATGGCTTCTCCAAGCACTTCCCAGGGATTCGGATCTGGCAAACTGGACTGAGTGGCCTCTTCTGCCTCCCAGTCTACCGAGACTACATCATGAGCTATGGTGAGCTTCTAGCTGAGTTGGGCGATTGCTCCCCACACACTGGGTCACCCCCTGCCTCCTCCCTCCCCAGTACAGGGAATGGCCTGAACGTGGGCCAGACTCGCAGCGGGCATCAGTGAGGGGCTTCACTGTCGGGATCTGACATGGGGATTGGGTGGAAGTTTGGAGAAACAGAATTCAGTGTTCACCTGTCCTATACTAAGGGTGAGGGGCCAAGGGCCTGTGGAGGGGCTGCTGACTGCTTCCCACCTACCCCTGTCCACAGGAGCGCGTCCTGTGAACCGCCAGAGCCTGGACTTTGTCCTGTCCCAGCCCCAGCGTGGGGAGGCCGTGGTCATTATAATAGGGGGTGCCCAGGAGATCATGTTTGCGAGCCCAGGGCAGCACTGCCTCACGCTCCGGAAACGCAAAGGCTTTGTGCACCTGGCGCTGAGGCACGGGTGAGTGCGCATGGAGGGCCTGCTGGCTGTGACTCCACAGCTCCCCTGGACTGTCCACTCTCTGTGGGTCTACACTCCCTCTCAGTCCCTACACATCTGGGGCCCTGGAGAGGGGACTGTGTCCCCAGAGCCAAGCACTGTGTCCTAGACCTGGAGGCTCATGGCGGTCTGGAGCATCTTGCTCTGAGCCAAGCCCTGTGCCCCGTTCCCTGGGCTCCCTCCCACCTCGAGCAATGCAGAGGCAGGGGCGTCAAGCCAATGGCAGGTTCTTGGGCTCAAAGCCCTGCATGCTCATTCTGACCTGATCTCAGAGGCAAGACCTTGGACTTGTCTCTACCTGTGAAGAGGGGTAATATGGACTAGCCACCATGTTGTAGTTATAACAACTGACTGAGAAAGTGAGTGTGTGAAGGCCAGCTACACAATCATTTCTCAAGAAATGTGAGTCTCTCCTTTTAGTTCAGGCATCCTCAAAATACAGCCCACGGGCCACATAGGGGCCGCCTAGCACATTTATCCGGCCCTCGAGGTGTTTTTGTCACAACTGCCTTTCCAGCTTAACAGCCAACTCGTCCTGGGCTGACAGTGCACAATCTCCAACAGTCTGAGGGACAGAGAACTGGCCCCCTGTTTAAAAACTTTGAGGACCCCTGTTCTAGATCTTTCTTTGTAGGCGCAGTCATGTGCTTTGAAAGGCCCTGGGAAATGGCCTCATGAGGGCTGGGGAGGGACTTGCAGCCCATGGCGTTCTTGGGGCACAGTCCAGCAGCCTGAGCACCCCTCTTCTCTCTCGCCACCCTTCCCAGGGCCTCGCTGGTGCCCGTGTACTCCTTTGGGGAGACTGATATCTTC